AGATTCTAGTAGATTGGAATTACCTCTACAACTCCAACTAACTATTTTTTAATTCTAATTAAGTCTTAACAAAGCTGCAAGCAACCACTATTAAGTTAAGAGTTACTAGGAAAAAAAAGTAAACGGTTGACAAAAGATTTGAAGAGTTGTAGGTTGCATGAGCTAGGAAAATATGACGATGGGAGAGAGATTCAAAGGGTTGAAGTGCGATCAAAAAACTAGGGGAATATCAGAGCATGGAGGAAAAGATACAGTAAACGAATAAGACGTAGCTGAATGACGAGTCAAGTGAGAATGAGTTTTAGTTGATGGAACTAGAGATGATAACTTGTTTGAGCAGAAACCATGATATTGAAAAGAGAAAGAGATTCAACTTTACTAGAACGCAAAAGAGGCTCAAGCTTAGCAGATAGAGCGGGTCTAACTACTTTTACAACGCATTTTTGGACCTTTTCTAGAAGAAAAAGAGTATGAATAGAAGAACCAGTCTAAATGACAACAGTAATATGACAACAGTAATTTATACAGGGACAAATATTTTGTGGATATGCAGAGGGAGAGAATCAAGGGTAAAATAATGGCGAGCATGATATAGAGAAGCAACTTTAGTGGATGCTAATTTAGAAATCGATTGTATTTATGGTTTCCATGTAAGGTCAGTAATAAACTATAATTTAAGAAGACGTAAAGAAGAGAACTCAGTGAGTGGGTTATCATTCATTAAAATGGGAATGTTGACAGTATTGCTATAGTTGTTCTTGAAAAAGGTTCTCGATGACAGGACTGAGGTTCCTATAACTAAAAAAAGTAGTTCTTTTTATCAATTTTATATAAATTTTGTTTTTATCATACTTATACACAAATGTTATTTTTATAAATAACATTTGTGCATAAGTAAATAAATATATAGTGAAACATCTTATCGTGCCTTCAGAAATTAGCAAATTCATTTTTTTTATTGTATTTTTTATTTTAATTGGAAGAATATAGAGATATATTTCTCGGATTATTTTTGTAATTGATAGTTATACAAATTGATATTAATCCAGGAGGTTACGTAGGAGGCACGTTTTTCAGCTGAGCAGGAAAAGACATCAGCTTTTCCAACAAAAGACCGTCACAAAGAAAATCTTGAAAAGAATCCCAGTCAGCTTTAGGGTAGTATTAAGTAGTACAATGATAGGGTGAGTCCAAAGAGTTAGTACGAGATGAAAAATTTAAAGAGATTATTGCATGGTCAGAACCACCTAAAGGAGAAAAAGGAGAAAGTGAACAGAAGCTAGGATGAGAAACCTGACATAAATCAAGGAGTGAAGGTTAATGATTAGAGTTGTCAGGAAAACAAGTCACAATGTAAATTATCTGTGTAAAAGATTAAGAAATGCAAACGTTAATAAGGAGCTAGACACCCCCCTCTCTCGGGATTGTTTTTTATAGAATATAAAAAATATATAAAAATAATTACTTTTTAAGCAGTTCATTAATGAGACTCATGTTGCAATTACCCTCGTTGGTTTATTTATTAAAGAAAATGTTCTATTTTTTAAATAAAGCATTATAAAATTTTATAATGTTCAAGTTACTCAAAATAAATTCAGAGGATTAATTAAATAATTTAGTTTCTTTTCGTGAAAACATTAAAATATATAATACCTGTATTTAAAAAGCGGAATGTCTATTCGCACGTTTTTCACGTGCGAATAGACTATATTTAGTTTAATTATTCGCACGTTTAATTAAAAAAAGGTAAAGATCATCGAATTTAAAGGGAATTTAAAAAAATTAGACTTATTATTATTATTGTTTTTTAACTTTAAAATTAAACTAGCGCAGTGGAGTACTAACGTAGTACTTACAATGGCTGACTTTTGAAGAATATGCGCACCGTAGTGTTTTCTGACTGCTTATCTAGGGAAAGGCACAGTGCAGTATAATTACAATGACGAGGGTTTTGGCTTAGGCAGGCAATCTTTTAATTAAAAATAAGAAATATTTCTTAATATTTATTTATCTATTAGCACGTTTTTGTTTGTTTTTTGAATAAAACTTTAATTATGTTTAAGTAATTTTATTTATTTTAATTACAATTGATTAAAAAAATCAAATTGCTTTCAAAATATATAACTTAAGTTATAAATATTTTTTGTTTGTGAGAGATTTCATATTAAGAATCTAATTTTTTTTTTAAACGTGCAAATAGACTATAATCCCGACGGGCATTTGTTTTTAAAAGTTACGATCTAAATGTATTTTAAATGTCTTTTAAACGTCTTTTAAACATTAATGTTTAAAAGACGTTTAAAAGACGTTTAAAACACATTTAGAACGTAACTTTTAAAAACAAATGCCCGTCGGGATAAGATATAGTCTATTCACACGTGCGTGCGAATAGACTCACCTTTTAAAAAACTATAAAAACTTTCAAGTAAATTTAAAGATTTAAATTTAAAAAACAATAACTCAAGAGTATATTTTTGGTAATTTTGGTTAAATTTTCAATTTTAAAAACCTCTCTATTATAATTAGAAATACTTGTGTCAGGGCTGATAGTGAAGTGCATATTTGCGTTTGTGTAAATAAAAGTATCTCCACCACACATAATATAATATAAGAGTGCTGTACACTTAAAGAGTGATGAGTCCAAACTACGTAGAGTTTGTAACTTTAACAGCTGTAACACACTAACATACAAACATAATAAAAGTTAGTATTTAAAATGTTCATCCAATTTGTTTTTGAACTGGTTGATACTGACTGCGTCTATTGTTTCTTGTTTAAGATTGTTCCAGTCGTTTACTACTCTATTTGTGAAAAAAATGTCGTTTTGTATTTCTTGTATATTGCTTTCTCAGTTTACTATTGTGACCTCTAGTTTTATATCCTTTATCTAGCATTTCGGGTTTAGTGTAAAAATTTATAATATCGTACCCTTTCAAATATTTTAACATTTGTATTAAATCACCCCTTCTTCTTCTGTTCTCCAACGATAGTAAATCCAACTTTTTTAACCTCTCTTCATAACTGTATCCTTTCAAAATTTTAATTCTGGAAGCTCTTTGTTGGACACACTTTAGTTTATCTTTATCATACTGACGATAGGGATTCCAGATAGGACCTGCGTATTCCAAATGTGGACGTTCTAAGGCTATAAACAAGAGTTTCATCGTTTTTTCATCTAAATATTTAAAAGTGTGTTTGATCTGACCTTCTATATTTTGACATATATCTGACACTTCTATATTTTGCGAGCAAGCGGGATCATGTTAAAACCTCAAAAATGGAGGTTTGCGTTCGTTTCAATGTCGTCAGAGGTTCACCACGTTTCTATCACGCATATTGTGTTAAAAATATTCAAAGATTTTTCTAAGCTATTAGAAAATTTTTAAAGACTTTTTTAAACCTCCTATATTGAAATGAATAACATTATTACGATTCGACTGAAGAAACTTTACTTTAATGTTAATAAGAGCAACTGCTTTGAAGAATACCGGTATCATAAAAGTAATAGGAATCGCTTTATAAAGCACCTGTATCATTGAAATGATTTAAATCTTGATCTAATATTTTTTTTATTTTCAAAGTTGTTTGGGTTATTTGAATCTATTTTAGTTGTAGGTAATCAAAAAAAAAAAAAAAAAAAAGAAAAGAACTTGTTTAAAAATTTACGCGTATTTAATTCATCATAAATAACCTTTGCATATTTCTTCTGCTTTTAAATTTTTTCCCTTTCGAAAGCAACTTTTTTATCTCTGTCGTTCCTTTACTGAAACCAGGGTCGAGTTTTGTCACTCGCCAAAGAGGGGGCTAAATGGTCTAAAAAAATAAAAAGATACGCATATTTTCATTAATAAGTAACTTTCTTTTTAAATTTTTGGACTTTTGTGTAATAACTAAGTTCATATACGTATAATTGCATATAATAGTCAATTTTATTCGTCAGTATAGTGATTCTGTATAATAGTCAATTTACAAAAAAAAATTCTAAAATAAAGTCCCAAGGAGGGGAGGGGGGAGAAGGCTATTACCCCATAGCCCCTGCCCCTAAAACCCACCATTGACTGAAACCTTCGTTTTTAACCTTAGATTTAAAATAGTTAACCATTATGACTTTTTTTTATCTATATAGTTTAAAATTTCTTAAATATGTTCAATAACTGTATTTACTTCGATTCCAAGTTTGCCTTTTAATGATTCTTGTATTTTTTTATTTGCTTTCACCCCAAATTTAATTGTCACTCTCTGCAACACTGTTTAAGTTGAGATTTTTATTCTAAATTTGGTCTTCAAGTTCATCCAATTCATCATTACTTTCAGTATTTTATTTTATTTTTTATCAATTTTGTTTACTTTGCAGGTTTTGCAGATTTTTGATAGACTAAAACTTTTTTATATTTCTCGATTACAAATTCGACTGACTTCTTAAAATTAATTTTAAAAAAGAAAAAGTTTTAGCCGATCTCACAAAATCTGCTAAGAAAAAAACATTTATAAAAAATAAAAGTTACCAAAATACTTAAACTGAAAGTAATGAAAAATGAACTTTACGATAAAATCAAGTTCATTTTTGAAAACCTTTTTTCTTGTTTGAAGTGCTAGTATTTTGTGCTATGTTTTCTTTAATTTTCTACGACATTTACAATAACTACTCTGAAAGATGACCATCTAGCCCCGCCCTCCTACTCTCTGTAGACAAATAATTCCTCCAAAACCCTCCCATCAGTATGATTCCTACAATTATCAGTTGTTTCTGAATCCGGTATCCGTCTCTGCTCGTTATATATGTGCATAAAATAAAAAATGAAATCCGTACTTGATTTTCTAAAAAATATAATTTAATGCACCTGTTTAAAACGGAACTGCTAATCCTGCTTTTAAATACCAAAACTATCGGCTCCGGTTTTTTACATAACTCTAAGCGGATGTTTTGCTAAAGTTTTATCCTCCTAAACAAGGTTTGGACAGGCAGTTATTTGATTAGTTTAGTATAAACCTTCCATCAAAATTATGTGCATTTAGATAAAGTAGATTAATGATGATTTCCTCTCTAATAGATAATTAAATTGTAGCAGTTAAGCTCTGAAAAAATTTAATTACATACAAAGTAATATATTTATTATATATCATAAATATGACCTATCATCATAAATATGACCTATATTTTTACCATAGATGTAATCTCTTACCATTTGTATATTTTATAAGCATTAGTAACAGTTGAATTTTGATATATTCAAACGCTGAATATATAGGTTTTATTTCTTTTATTTTTATTATTGTTATTGTTGTTATTTTTATTGTTATTATTATTGTTGTTATTATTGGTATTATTTTTATTATTGTTATTGTTTTATAATTATTAATATTATTACTATTAATGGCTATAAACTATGTAAATTTAACTGCGACTAAATCTTGAATTTTTTTAGCTTAAAGCCATAAAATATTATCTATCACTATCATTCATAATGATAGTGAAAATATGTAAAATCTTTAAACTAAAAAAAAACTGATATTTTTTTATCTTTTAAATATTACTAAATTATATATATATATATCAAATATATATATATATATATATATATATATATATATATATATATATATATATATATATATATATATATACAAATAGTATTGCGTACTAAGGTAAGCAATCTGACGTCATACTGAAATAACCTGCTACTGGGGGCTTCAGTACATACATCAACTGACAAATGGCCTGACTCGCAGTGGAGTGCTGCTACATCGACTGAGGGTTTGGGATGGGGAAGCAATCGCTTTATTCATCATTCTTCGTTTTTTCTTCTTTTTCGAAAAAAATAGTATAGCTTAAGGTAAGCAGAAAAAGTGAGCATGCTTTAGTAAGTGTATATATATATATATATATATATATATATATATATATATATATATATATATATATATATATATATATATATATATATATATATATATATATATATATATATATATATATATATATATATATATATATACAGTGCTCAAAGTGGGGAAAAACAAGTAACGGAATGGTAATCAGTAAATTAAAAATACCATCCCGCCATATCATTGTTATATAAAAAGATTTATTAAAAGGTGGCGGCATGGTTTATACTTTATGAATAGGTAATGGGATGGCATCCCTCTGCATCCTGCCTCACTTTGAGCACTTTATATATATATATATATATATATATATATATATATATATATATATATATATATATATATATATATATATATAAATATATATAAAAGAATAGTCTATGCAAATAACTGAAGACATTAAAAGGAATGGTCAAGCAAAAAAACTAAAACAAATTGGTAATAGTATAAATACTTGCCTCAGGAAAGTTGACATTAACTTTGTTAAAGACACAACTTGTCATCAACTTGTTTTCAATTTGGAAAAGTTAGAACTAATAAACTGATATAAGAAATTTAATATTATAACTAGCAAAGGAATAAATACTCTTTACAAATATGTGTATATTTATATATGTTTTTAACTAAGGGTGTAATGACAATTTATAATTTTTACAAATTTTTATTAAACACTTATGTGTAAAATGCACTAAATATATAAAATATAATATTTGAATTTAGATTTTAAAATTACTTAACAGAGATTTATTTGACATTTATTATTTTATAGAAAAATCAAATAAGTTATGAAAGTCACAGTAAGGACCTTAGATTCTACTAATCATAATTTTGAATTTGACGATGAAAATGTAAGATAAATTTATATTTTATTTCAAATTGTATCTTTTAAAAAAAAGATATATATTTATGTGTGCGTGCGTGTGTGTCTATACATATAAATGTTTGCGATAAAACGTTCAAAGTTTGCTATGCTATAATTTCTTTTTTCAGATAACTGTAAAAGACTTCAAAGAGCTTATAAGTCAAGATGTTGTAAGTCTTATTTATTTTATACACAATGTTATTATAACAGTAAAAATTGACCTTTTAAAATATTTTTTATCTTATACTTAAATATTTTATAAAATTCAAAAGAGCATTTAACAATTTCATGCCATCTTCCTTACCAATAGTGCTAATACAGGCTAGTTCAAGAATGGTGTGCAGTGATGTGCCATCCCTGACCACATCTGAAATTTTAACAATGTGATCATTTTGAAATTGCATTGAAAAACTAAGCTAAACAGACTATAGAGAGAAAAGTATATATAAATAATAATAAATATACTTAAAAAACTAAGCTAAACAGACTATAGAGAGAAAAATATATATAAATAATAATGAATATACATAAAAAACTAAGCTAAATAGACTATAGAGAGAAAAAAATATATAAATAAAATATAAATATACATAAAAACCTAGGTTTAAGAAAATAAAACTTGAAAAACTATTTATTTCAATAATCTGTTATCATTTAAAATTATGACCTTATAAAATTTGTAACCTCCTCAAATCTCTAGATTTATCTTGCTCTACAATCTTCATCTTTTCTCTTCTAGTAACTTCCAACTCTAATTAGTTAAGCGAAAATGTTAAAAAAAAATTTGAGTGTTCAAACTCTACATGGTTATAATATTGCTATATTTATTCTTTTTAAAATGTAAAAGTTTGCAACTTTCCTGGTTTTACAGTTGCAACAGAAATACATTCCCTGTTTTTTTGTAGTAAGATTATCTATATTCTCATGTTTAGGGCAGGTGTGGCTAAAGTTTAAAGGCTTATTTAACTCTAACTAACTTATTTAGCAATTTTTTCATATACCTGTTTTTAATGTTCTAGAAACCCATGTGGCCTTGATGATATCAAAAAAAAATTATAACACATTCTATATTTATTGATCTTATAAGGATTTTGATCTTTGAGTATTCTTTTTTATTGATGTAATATATTACAGGATGTTTTTTTTTTACTGTTAGATTTTAGATGGATGACTAGTCCATATACTCACAAATCAAAATTCTTACAAACATATAAACTTTCTTAAGACATTTTAAAAAAGGTCATTGAATATAGAATAATCAAAATCCAAATGGAACAAGTAAAATCCAAAAGTTTTTTTAAAAGAATATTTTCAAAGTTATCTTTATTTTGTTAACAATAGAGAAAAAAGTGTTGTTTTTTTGAGAAAATAAGTGGGGTATGGCTCCCTGTGCCACAGCCCCAACAACCCTCTGGTAGTCTTCCTTAGAAATAATTTTAACAAACATTCATTAGGACTACACAAATGCTGAAAGTTTTAGGAAGCTTCCAATTTGTTTTGAAGGTAGTGAAAAATCTATCACAAAGTTTTGCTACAAAAAAAATGGGGGCCATGCCCCATTATCCATATATAGTATATGGATTTCCATATATGAAAATTCAAAACCCTTATATTTTCTGAAATTTAATGAATATTAAACGAATTTTAGTATATATTTCATCAAGGCCACATGAGTTTCTTGAGCATTAAAAACAGGTATAAAAAAGGTTAAATAATTAAGATTTACCTAAATTTATTTAAATTGATTATTACAGGTATTTAATAATTTTTTATATTTCTGATCATTTTATTGGATTCATAACCCCTGAAAATCAGGTGGTGCCAGAGCCGCAAAAGTGAGCAGCTCTCAGCTCTTGTGTTTTTTTTTAAGGAATAGAATGTATGTTTTTTTTTAACTCTAGATAAACTTTATTCATTTTTTTTTTTTTTCGTTATTTTTTTTGTTATTCACCTCCTCAAGGCCGAGAAGGCCACTACAGACAAGGAGGCTACTTAATAGTGGTTATAACCCTCTCTCAACTCTATAACTCCGAAACACGAACCTTGACAAACAAGGCCGCTGCGCAGAGAAACAAGTTGAATGCGGTACTACCAGGGACGTGGTGGGGATCAAACTCGGAATCTCTCGCTTATGAAGCGAGTGTTTTACCACTACACCACTACCGCATATATATCATTTAAATATCATTTAAAGTTTATCATTGAAGTTCTATTTTTTTTTAAATATTTTTTCTAATAGAAAAAAACGTAATTAAAATAATGAATTTAACGATTTTGCACTAAACAAACAGGGCCTATTCTAAAAAAATTTGGGCGGCGGTCCCCCTTATTCTGGCAAACTTTAGCGGAAAATCAGCTAGAATCGAAAATGGTCTAGAATAGCCCCGGTCTAGAATAGCCCCTGACAAAATACTATCCTTTAATAGTATTTCTCAATATGCTTTATTAAAAAAAAAGTTATATATGGAAACATTACAGTATTATATATATTGCTTTATATTATATTTTTATACTGATTCTATGCTATTAAATATTTGATGCACAATTTAGTGATCAAAGTTTATTCATATCTTTAAAATTATATTAAAGCATGTAATTACTTGCTTTAATATAATTTTATACTTGTCATTCAGTTAAGTCTCATCTGTTTACTGTGACTGTTCCTAACTGCTCTAAATAATTTTATTTGTCTAGTTTTTTTCCTTGAACATCAGTTCTTTAAAATTTGCTCCTTTTATCTTGTTTTCCTGATTAATATAATTTGCAATCTTTTAAGTTGTCTGTTAATCATTATCTTGTTTTATAAACTTCATCTTTTTTCTTCCAGTTACTACTAACTCTAACAGTGGTTGCTTGCAGCCTTCTTGGAAGTGAAGATTAAAAAAAAAAAAAAAAAGGTTTTAAGTAATATTATAAAAACATTTAAGATAAAGTTTAAGTTTTGTCTAAACTTAATTAAAAACTTGATTTTATTTCTTTTTTTTTTTTTTTCTTTTTTTTCTTTTTTAGCATTTTTGAAATGTTTAAACACATCAACAGCCATGGTCATATTCTCAAAACAAAATGTTACTTGCATATTTTGATTTGACAATCATATAATAGCATGCATAATATCAAATGTTTTCCTGACCTAGCCTGATATATTCTTTTTTTTAATTTATATAAATGTACATTTTTTATGACTAATTTAGTTGTTTTTAAACAGTTTTTATAATTAATTTTATAAACAAAAATGATTTCAAACAACAATTGTGTCTTTAAAAAACTATTCTTATGAATCATTAAAGTTGATATTGTTGAAAATAAGACAAAATTTAGGAGAAGAAACAGCATAAATAGAAATTTAAAAATAAAATGTTTAATTATCTTATCCCATTGTTGATGTTTGCAAAGTTAAGTTAAAATTTTGATTGCTGCTGTTTTCTTCTTTCTGTGTATCCAAAAATTGGTATTTTCTTCATAAAAAGTTGTTATTTTCCTTCATAAAAAATCTTTTTTCTTCTTTTTTTTTTGCTAAATCTGCGATTAGTTATAAACATTTCAAAAATTTTATTATCTAATTCCAAACGGTTTTAAAGATATGACTATTCAAACTTTGCCTTGAACCAACAAAAAACTACTGTTATAAAAAATGATTTTGGGTTTTTTTTTCTGTTCTGAGTGCAATGGAAGGCTGAAAATATGTTCACTTACATATTTTGAGGCAAGGAATCCAATATAACAACTTAACAACTGTAATTTTGACCTTTATCACGATTTTACTGGGGCAAGTTTAATTACAAAAATGCCAATGTAGCTCAATATTTTTTTTAGATGTTGTCCTAAATAGTTTAGCTAAAGTTATTACAAAGAATTGCAGCGTGGTCTTTTCTTAAACAACAACAAACAAAAAAAACATGGTCAAGTTTACTTAGATTTGTTACTTATAAAACAGGAATTATGAAAATTCAAAGGAAAAAATCAAAAGTGATACTCTTAAGTGATTAATATACAGAAGTTGATGTTTAATAATTTTCTGAAAATTTTCTCACCTATTGTGAGCTTATTAAGACCCCCTTCCCCTTTTTATTAAGTTTTACTTGTTATAAATAAAGAAACCGTGCCTCAAATCAAAAAAAAAAATTTCAGTTATTATTTTTTAATTTTGGATACTGGTTTAGGTCTTAAAAATTAAAAAAATATAAACTCACTTATAGAAAAAAAAAATTCCACTCACCTGTTTGTTAAGACTCTGTTCCCCTCTCCTTCCTTTCTCCTCTACCCCTATTTGTTACATCTGGATAAAAATCATCCATCTTTTTATTCCCACCCCACATTGTGTTTTCTTGGTAATTTTATTAATTCCAATCAAAAACTTCAAAAATTTATTCAAATTTACCCATTTTACCCCTTAAATTTTTAAATTGAGTTATAAAAATGCTGATGCATTGACTCATTGAGATATTTGAATTTTTTTAAAAGATGTCTTGAATACTTTAGTTAGAGTTATCACAATGTATTGGATTATGGTCTTTCCTAAAACAGAAATAAAAAACAAATGTCAAATGTACATAAATAAATAAATTTAATGAGAAAATTTAGAATCATAATCTGACTTTTTTATTTTTTATGTTTTTAAATATTTTATTAAGTTTAGGGCAATAAATTGCTAACCTCCTTTCTATGCCTTAAGGTTAGACCTTTGTATCAAGTTTTTTTCTGCTGACCTGATACCAACCTCTAAAAGATTGAGGTCAGCATTTTATTGCTGACCTATTTTTACCTAATTCAGAGGGTTGTGTTACTAAGGACATTGAGACAAACACATGATAGCAGGCTGTTGTTAAAGCATTAGTTGAGATAAAGGAAAAGTTTACAAATAAAATAATTTTCTACAAATAAAAGTATTTTCTTGTTTAAAAATTTATGTAAACAATATTGTTGGCAATCAATTTCAAAACTAAAGTTTACTTTTTTTTAAATATAAATCTATAAAAACTTTAAGACTATAATAGGAAATCCAATAGAGAAACATATATAATCTGGTGTAAAATTTGTACCCATGGCTTTACCATTTTTTTGTTGAAATAATTTTTTATCAAATATGAAATTGTTGTTATTTAAAATAAAAAATTCAGACTCAATTATAAATTCAGGTGTAAATCTTTTATCTATCGATTCTTTAAATTTATTTATCCAGAATTTTTAGGCTTTTATCGTGAATTTTGTCTCCGTTTGTAAATAAAAAAAAACATTTGTTAAAGAAGACTGGGTTTCCTCAGAAAAATTCCAAGAAACTTTGAATCAGAAAGTTGTATAATGACTGTTAACCTGTATATACCTGACCAGTATTCCACATTATCATAATAATATAAGTCACTTGCAACAGTAAAACTGTAATTTATTACCTTGAATGTTTATCATGTAATAAACAAGCCACATATACTGGTAAAACGAATAATTTAAGGTTATGCATAAGAAGACATATTTCTAGCTGCAGCACTGGCATATCCACTGATAGATTTGACAACCATGTTTATACCTTCAATCTACCCACAATAGTATTTTGAACTATTTTTCCGACTTTTTGTCTTCTTTCTTGAACTTAACAATGAGAGTTTTTTTTATTATCGTATGAAAAGCATTTGCACAATTTAAAGCACAATTTGATATATATATATATATATATATATATATATATATATATATATATATATATATATATATATATATATATATATTCAGCAATGCCGACCTAACTGCCAACCTGAAAGTGTTTGAGGTTGGCAAATATTTCCCGACCTCGTTTCTATGTTTTATGGTCAGATCTTTGTATCAAATAAATTTCAAATATCAAATAAAGTCCACTTTCTTTTAATTTTTATATAAGACCTTTGAAGCTATGACAGGTCTTTTAAATGTAGTCTGCTGAAATTCTGTTCTATGCTTTGACCAGAGTTGTCTTCAATGTCTTGATAAGGAATGAGGTTTGCTACAGCATCAGTTTAAAGTTTTGTTCTGATAGAATAGTCTCATGGGTTGATGTCTGGTGAGATTAGTGGCCACATTTCTTCTGGCCAAAAATTTCTGATGTTTGATCTCAGGTATTCCTGTGTTTTTTTGTATGTGTGGCATGGAGCCTCATCTTGGATAAACACAACCTTGTCATCAACGTTGATTGTTGAGCCCAACCAAAGTTTTAGGTATGTTTCTAGAAAATTTATATAGGCAGTGGTGTCAAGGTTTGCCTTTTTCCAACAAAAACTAGGGGCATTTTATTGTCTGTTTGAGGATGTCATAGCAAAAATTTGTTACTTGATTACACATACACAGATGATTTGTCTTTAAACTGTCAGTAATTGTCAGGAAGGTTATCAGCATCCCCACTGACTAAAACTCGAAGGTTTCATTCTATCATTAGTATTCTGGATATGAAGTCTTGTCCACTGTAAAAAGTTTTTATTTGAAAACATTAAAATTGGCATGCTTTTTTAAAGAAAAGCATGCATCTATGCAACCTCTTTGTCATGTTAACAGCAGAAAGTAATGGTTTAGCAGTCGGAGCCAATAACCCAGCTCCAACATTATCTTTTCTGACGCATATTTGGCACATTACTGAATTGTTTTTTACATTTAAAAGATTGACAGATAAAAAAAAGCAAATAAAAAGAACATTTTTTTCACTTATTTAATTAAAAATATTTGTTTTTAATTCAAAATCACATTAAGTTAGTATGAAGTAATTGTTGTTTATGAACACAAATTGCGTTTACAAATATCTTTTAAAGTAACTATTAAAATTTAAATTGTTTATAATCTTTATTGAAAATACCTAAAAAAATACTTAAAAAAACAAAACAAAAATAAAAATAATAAAGGAATATTTTTTAAATAACAAGTTTCTCTTGTAACTTTTCTTATAGTTATTATTTAAAAGATTTTAAAGGTTCAAAATTTAATTTAATTAACATGCGGAACTTTAAAATAGGCTAATGACAAAATATTTTTTTTAATGATTCAAAAATCATTCTTTAAATTCACACAAATATTATTCCATACTTTTATATAAAATTTAAGTAAAAAGTAAGCAACATTGATAAAGTTCAGCACACTTATTATTGTTATAAAACTTAATAAACGGCTAACAAAAATGACAATATTTTTGTGTTTGTTAGCTTTTATTTAATGTTAAACTTTATTAACATATATAAATGCTATTTATAATTGTTTAAATTTATTTTTATATGTAAATACACATAATTTTTCAATTTATACATCTTTTTCTTTTATTTTTTATTATAGAATATTCCAGTTAATAAACAAAGAATAATATTTAAAGGAAAAGTTCTTCAGGATGAAAGAAAGATATTAGAATATGGTATGATACAAGCATAGAATAATATAATTTAATCTATATTTTATTTATGATTTAAATTGTTGAATTAACTCAATAATTTTACAAAAAGGTGTTGATGGATGTGTTGTACATCTGGTACAGCGAGCTCCTCCTACAAGCGTTTGTAAGTAGCATAGTAGTTTGTAATTAGATATGTAAATTTTATCAATTATATATTGTTAAAATTAGTATATTAAATTACAGTAATTATATTAAATTATCATAATTGCATAATTTAATGATTTTTTAACTGGTACATTCTTTGTATAGCTCAAGAAAGTTCAACAAGTTCAACTGTAACCCCACCTACTAGCATAAGTTCACCTCCAAGTTCTCAAAACAATTTTAGTGGATCTTTTCCTGCTGCTCAGGTAGTTATATTTTGTTTCTTTTTCTGATTATTTGATTGGTTTGATTGATTAATAATCTATTGGTTATTAATTAATATTCTTTATAATAAATTATCTTATTACACAATGTTACAAATTTTCACATTTGCCCACTGTAAGTCTTTTAATTTTTTATTAATTAGTTTTCACTGCTGATTTCAAAAATGCAATTATTTTTTTCTTTTTTTCTGTATCTGCAGTTTTAAAGTTATAACATTTTTAGCACCAACCGGCAGCTGAGCACCCATACATTCTAATCACAAAACATTTCATTGAGAGATTTTTAGAGTGTTTCTCTTGCAGTCTAGTCACCTGTCAATGTTACCCTGTGCTTCTTTATACTTTAAACAATTGTATTTAAAAATTAATTAAAATGATATTATTTTAACATTGACATGAACTTATAGGAACAACATTTATAGTAATTTATTTGTTCTTTAAAATTTACTGAATGGTAAAAAAAAAACAATACAAAGACTCTTAAACAATAAAAAAGTTAATTGCAAATGTTATAATAAAGTTTGAGGATAGAAAACTACATATAAAACATTTAGAAATGCAATCAAGAGTTGTGCCTTGGGAATGTCTTCAATACCTCATATAAAGATCATATATTTTCTATTGAGAGAGCATATGAAGTTCTTTGAGTTTCAGTTTATGTATTTTTCGAGCACATACTCTATTAAAAAAAAAGTGTGCTTGGGTTTTGTAGTGGGCAAGCATCAGTTCATGAAAGGTTGCATCATACTATGAAAATGAGCACTTAAAAATGATATTGATCATCCAGAATACTAATGACAGAATGAAAAAAATATAAATGAAAAATGAAATGAAATGAAAAAAGTACAAATGAGTATAAATAGTTAAAAATACAAGTAATAAAATTCTCAGACGCATTTTTCAAAGCAAGTTGCAAAAGAACATTGTTAAACCTTTAACAAACCATAATAACTTACCATGTCATTCTAGATATTTTTTAAGATTGCACTAATGACTTTTTTTTTTAAGTGGTTTCACTTACTAAAATTTTCTTATTGTTTAAGTAATTGTTTTACTTTTTACCTATTTTCTCTATTTTTCTTTATTACTTTGTTAGTAACTTTCTTTAATTTTTTTTTTGTTTTTATTTTTACAAGGTTTTAAAAATAAAAACAAACAAAAAAATTAAAAAATTAAATACAAACAAGGCTGTTTGTAGTTTTTATTACAAAAACAAATTTGTTACATTTCATTTTTGCTTTGTTACATTTCATTTCTTTGTTACATCACATTACAAGCTCTGTTACATTTCATTTTCAGTAAATAATACACTTTTTTTTAGTAATTAAAACATTTAAGTTTTTATGCAAATAAACTATGTTGATGTTTTGACAATTTTAGTCTACTATCTCTATAACAACCATTAAGTTCTTATTAGTCCTTATTACTGTTAAATATCTATTAAATCTTATTACTGTTAAATATCTGCTAACTTTTATTATATTTACTTAACAGCAATTTGTGGATAATCTTGTTTCACAGTTTGGTGCTGGAAATGTTTCAATGAATGCACATGTGAGTGTTTTTCATTTATCAAGTTTAAATGTAAAAAAAAAAAAGATAAAAAATAAAATGGGATGTAACAGCAAACTAATTTAAAACATGATAATGTTTGGAAAAGATCTATTAATTTTTCCTTTGTAAACAATTAAGTGTACTTATTAGTTGCATTTTATTATTTTCTTATGTTTAAATCATTTTATTACAATCACATCCTACTATATAACACTGCCAGATTTTTTGCCTTTAAAGCCTAACATTAACATGAATGAAGCCCTAACATTAACATGAATGAGTTAGTAAAACTATGATATAAATTTCTTTTTAAAGTTTACAGTAATATAAATTCATTGATAAAAAAACAACAGGTTATTTGTATCGCAAAATTGATATTTTTTTCTCTCAAAGATATACTATATATACTATGTTGCTTATTATGTTTATTTATGTTTTATGGTGTGTTGAACTTTAAAAGCACAAAACCATTATCACTTGCTTAATATGTTTCATTTACCAACAAGGATGCTCTTTTTTTATTTTGTGAGTACGCAAATCAGTAATTTCTTTACAATTTTAAACACATGACAAATATAATTAGCTAATTCTTTAGAAAGTTTTGTTAAACCACAGCGTGACAGAATTTCAAGATGTTCTGTTGATACTTGTTTGAAAATTAATGATGTCAGACATTTAGCACATTTATCTGCAATCTTTTTTGTGGTATAACCAACTTCATTGATGATAACTTCATAAAAGATATGACACTGATCTTTTTCTTAAACATCATTGCTGAATTTTTCCAATTTCATTAAAAGGTTGTTTTTGTCAATATTTATATCAATATTTCAGATTGCTCGTCCAACTATTAATATTGGCTTTAATTAGATATTCAGAGGCGTACCCTCCGGTTTTTTCCTGGTTGCCCTGCAGGCACCTGAAATAGTTTTTGTTTTTCATCTGAGTTTTTTTTGATATTTGTTCTCAGGTAAAAATACTGAAGAAAAAAAGTTTAAACGTCTAACTACTAAAATGCATCTAATAATGTATATAATGTATATTTATCTGTCCTTAAAATATATTTGTATAATTTTAATGTAATAATTATATATTGTCCCTATATGAAAACGTCTATGTAATATACTTTTATGTATAACTTTTTTTTTATTATATAATTATATTTATTTGTTCATAACAATACGCACATTTAGCTTATTTGGATAAAGCGTTTACATCATACATGATATATCCGCGGTTCGAATCCCACCAATGTCGATTTTTTTAGAATTGTTTTTCGTCAAAATACCGCTGGTCATATATCTGTGTTATAACCATTTATCTTTTCTTTTTTGAATATAAAAAACTTTTTGTTGTATGTTTATGAATGATACACATCTCTTCAAATTCAGATTTCTTATACCATTTAAGCCTTTCAGTATGTTTTCTAAGTAAGGCGCACATACATATATACATAGTTCTTGAACTTCAGTTAGGCCATTCTGTCTACACATTTTTCACATAACCTTAATTGTTTCATATTGCCTTTCTATTCCTGTATATTTTTTAACCCCAATCTTTTAGCACTTTGTAATTTTGGATACCTGTTGCTTTATGATATTCAGCTCAATGTGTTTAGTTCTACCCGCCCTCGCCCTTTTGGTCTACTATGTTATTAGTGAACAATTATTAATAATAATTGTTATTAATTGTTATTCAATTATTAATAATAATTGTTAATAATCATTTACTTATATATCACCAATAGCATAGTAAACCAAAAGGGAGGGTAGAAGAAAAAAAAAATTTGGGAAGAGGTGGGATTCAAACCATGGACATACTGAGTATAAATTTAATGCCTTACCCAAATAAGCTAAACTTGTATATTGTTATGAACAAATTAATGCAATTATATAACAAAAAAAAGTTATGCATAAAAGTATACGCATGCATTACCCAGGCGTTTTCATGTAGGGACAATATATACTTGTTACGCTAAAAGTATACAAATATATATTAAAAACAGATAGCAGTTTATATTTTCGCTTTCCTTTTTAAATAAAAAACAAATAAAATGTAGGACAAATCATTCTTTTTGATGTCAACTTAAAACTGTTTTTTTTTTGCTTTTCTTTATCAAGTTTTGTTGCTGAAAATAACAATCACTCTAAAGAAACAAAAATAAAAGCAGTACACAAATTATTTAAATTATTAATTTATTTTTTATTTTTTGGTATTTATTTAAATAAAATAATTATTTTAATTTCCTATTTTGTTAGCTCTGCTTTGTTTGTTTTTAAAACTTAGTTTTTTGTGCAATGCCTTATAAAAAAGCTTGACCAAGTTGTATTTGTATATTAGTGAAAGCTGACTTTCAAAATATTTAGAGTTATTAGTGTTGATTACAGTTATATTCAAGAAATTTAATTCCGGTGAAATTTAAATCCGGAAATTTAATTTAATAAGAAATTTAATCCCAGTGTCTACAAACTCACATACTCTTCTGGCAGTATATACATTGGCAAAACAAAAAAGAAAATTTTAACAAGATGCATTGAACATCAAAAAAACTATTTAAAAGGTAAATGGGATGCGTCTAGTGCAACCAAACATGGTAGAGAATGTAACAGTATGTTTGATTGGTCAAATCCGAAAACTCTAGCAATAAATTCAGAGTACAATCAACGTAAAGTTAGAGAATCACTTGAAAAAAAATTAACTACGCCTCAATATACCAAGAAATAAAACACGCTCCTATACTTTTCAACCGTGACAGTGGCATTAAAATTTCTACAAACAGTTGGAGAATTCTGTTTAAAAAATTTATCCAAAAAAACAGTAATAAATAATATTTGCTATTTTTATATTTACGTTGTTATGTAATCATTTATGGCTTCTTTTTAATGTCTTCTTTGACGTTTTTATGTAATATTTGTAATGATCTGTGCAAAAACAGGTCGAAATATTACGTAGAAAAAAATTTAGTTTGTACGCAGCTGTTGTTTTATGCTTTATATTTTATTATTATATAAAATATTTAATATAAATATCATTTATATTAAATATTATAAACATAAATCATTTTCTTAAATTTCAGTTGCACTTGGAGAAAACAAGTCAGCCTGTGCCACTGGACAACCATGAGGGCAACCCCTGATATTACATACACAACATCTTTTCAGAGCTTTGAACTTCACTTAAACTGACTAAATATCTGCCACTTATTTGACAATATCTACTGAAATCCCTTTCTAATTAGTCACTTTCAAACCAACTAGTCAAAACATGCCTATATTCTTCTGAAAATAAATCTTCTATCAGACTTGCAGTACCTTTCAGTGTTGTAATTAGTGCATTAGTTATTTGGGTAGACTAAATAAATAACTAAATTGTAATTTTTTCTTTAACAATGTAAAAAATCTTTAAATAAAAAAAATCTTACATATTTACCAGATGCACAATCACTCACTTTAGGAGTTTTATAACGAGAAGTATATTGTACTAGTTGGCAAGCATAAAGCATTCTGCAACTCTTTTATTGTATTGACTACTGCTTGTGCAAAACGGACTTGATCTTAAAACATTTAATATTCCATTTTTAAAAATCACATTCTCATAGACATGTGCAATAAACTCCAAGAAATTTCAACATTAATAATATCTTCAAACTCTATGAAATTAAAAAATGGAAGTACAGACAACTTTGAATTTAATAAATTGTTTCAAATTTTTAAAAATAAATGTGATTATCTTGTTCACTGAATTTCAAACGTAAAGTCTTTAATGCTGAAACATTTGTTGCATGATTGTCAATTATTATAGCTCGCACATTAGAAGATACTTTATATAATGTTTGTAATGTTTTCTTTATCTATAAACTAATCAAAGAACCAGAAATTTGAAACTCTGGACAGGCTTTAACAACAAATGGAATCGATTGTCAAAAATCAAAACCCGACAAAAACTTTCATTAAAATTTGTATTTAATTGTTTTATGAAATCATCTGCTTCATTTGTCTAAATTATTTTAAATAATGGTTACGTTTGCTAACTGCTAGGGCTTGTGTAGAGCTGAGTTTGATTAAAGTAAAGATGGTTTTGATAAAATGTTTTAGTTGGTAATGGTTGTTGGTATAGAATTTTTGGAACAATTTAATGCTATATGTTTGCCTCTTTTTAAATACTTATCTTCAAAATAATTAATACACATTGCTGAGTTTTCTGTGTGGATCCAATTGTTGGATGAAGTTTTTTAGTTGATACTCCAACATTTCAAAGATCTAGATATCAAGAAAACAAAAGAAATTTTTGTATGGTGCGTAATTGCTGTTACTTAAGCATTCTCAGGGTGCCCATTCACTGGAAAAACTGGAAAGGGCTGTTTAGGAGAAAACATTCTGGAAAAACTGGAAATTGTATTTTTGGTTTAATGATGCTCAAAAAATTCTTTTTCCAGTTTTTCCAACATGTTTTCCAAAAACAGTCCTTTCTAGTTTTTCCAGCCAGTGGATACTTGGATTCTTCAATCTTTCGCTTATAATTACTTCTACAACCTAGAACACAGCATTTTTTTTGCCATTGACAAATGAATTACATCTTATATTTATAATTTAAATTTATAAATTTTGTTAAATCTGTTAATTTGTTAAATTTAATTCAGCCCACTAATTTTTAGCCTTTAGGCAACAAACCCGGCCGTGTTATACAGGGGATTATATAGGTGTTATATGAGGTTATATATTGTTATATAGGGATTATATAGGGTTATATATGTGTTATAAAGGGTGTTATATATTATTTAGGGATTTACAATCGTATAATTATATCTTCAACCCTCGGAATTAGGGTCGGCATTTGGCAATGGCGACCTAACTGCCGACCTTAAAGTGTTTGAGGTCAATAAAAAATTGCTGACTTCATTTCTATGTTTTATGGTTAGACCTTTGTATCAAACTTTTTTTGCTGACTTGATGTCGACCTCTAAAAGATTTTGGTCAGCAAATTAAAATTGAAATTGCCAATTTCATTTTTCTTAATTCTGAGGGTTGTATCTTATTTATGAATTAAAAATATAAAACAAATAATTACTAATAAGCAGTAGTTTAATATACATAATTTTAATAGTTTAATATTATTATCTTATTGTTATTTATTTGTAATGTTAAGATAATATATATTAATAAAAAATAAAAAGAAAGTTTTATTTATTTGAGAAACACTAATAGATTTTTTCTTTTTGCAGGGAAACAGTTTAAATGTAAACATCAATGTTTCGCCCCCTAATGTAAGTGCTTTTTTTTTTTTTTTTTTTTTCTTTTTTTTTTTTTTTTAAATATTATTGCTTTACTTTTTAAATTTATATTAAAAAAATTAAATTTTAAATTTTTTTTTATTAAGAATTATACAGAAAAAAAAAAAAAAGGGTAAAGTTACAGTAAATACTACTTTTTATAGTGGTTACTTGTAACTCCCAACTTTAATAGTGGCTACTTGTAACCAGGGTTAGGGTCAAATACGCATTTGTATTTGGTAAAAATAAGCTAAATTTGTGTATTTTTTATTGTATTCGATTTTAAAAATTCTTAGATATTTGTATTTGATTGAAATGTATTTGCAATCCCATAAACAAGGTTAACTGTTATTTTTTTGGGAAAAACCAATAGATTTTTTTATTTATTTATATCACAAAAAAATTTAATCCCAACTTTAATAGTGATTTCTTGTAAATCCTAACTTTAATAGTGGTTACTTATAGGTCCCATCTTTAATAGTGGTTACTTGTAGTTCCATTGGAACTAAATTAGTTTTAAAAAATGTAACGCTGTAAAAATTAAAAATAGTTTAAGTCTAAAATGACAGAAAAGAAGCGGTTGAAAAGTAGTAAAAATGAAAGAGAGGAAATTTACCAAGCTAAAAGTGATGTTTGACAAACAGCATGGTTTTTTTCAATCTAGTGCTGCTTGTAAATTTAACACCGTTCAGTTGTGTATAAATCCAACTTTGAATATCAAAAAAAAAAATTTATGTTGATTCAGCTTCCTAAGGCCGAGGAGACCACTGCAGATGAGGAGGCTACTTAATTGTGATTATAACCCTCTCTCAGCTCTATAACTCCAAAACACGAACCTTGACGAACAAGGCTGCTGCGTGGAGAAACAAGTGAGCGCTGTACTACCAGGGGTGTGGTAGGGATCAAACTCAGAACCTCTTGCTTATGAAGCAAGTGCTCTACCACTACACCACTATTGCATTAAATTTTATCTGGATGAGATTATTTATGTGAAAATAAAACAGTAAAAGAAAAGTTGTTTACTTGATGAATCCATCAGATTCTTTAAAATTCTTTTTGCTAAGTGTACACAAAGAATAAACAAGATTTATTTGAGTCTTCTTTGTAGTTTTGACCTTGAAAACATACAATACTCTAATGAAGTTGTTGCATACTTGGATACCATTAATTTTAACAATGTAAAAAATCTTTAAATAAAAGATGTCTTTCATATTTACCTGATGCACAATCCCTTTTAAAACAAGAAGTATATTGTGCTCTTTGGCAAGCATAATGCATTCCACAACTCTTTCATTGTATTGACTGCTGCAAAATGGACTTGATCTTAAAACTTGAAGTTTCCTTTGTATACAAAAATGATATGCAAAGAAGATTTCATTTTGTTTTGGAATACTAGCATTTTATAATGAAGAAATTACAGTGTTTAAAATTAAAAATAAATCAAAAAAAGTTCTTGTTTTAATGTTCTTTAAGTAATTGAATTATCTGAATAATTCTATATTTAAGTTGAATATTTGCTTGAATATTTGTTACAGTAGATGTTTCTTATCAATGTTTTTCAATTGAGAATTTATTTTATTGTAAAATTGCACCTTGGAACTATTACCTGAATGATTGTATCTTTTTTTATGTTGTTGTTGTTGTTAGTTAAAGTTATGTCAAATTAAAAAAATGATATTTTTATTTTTAATATACTATAATTTCTAAACATTTTGTTATGTGAATAGCTATAATCTTTAGTTAAATAAAAATTTATTCTGTTAGAATAATGATGATGTGCGACGACGCCTGCAAGTTGCAAGAAGATTTTTGTGTCATGCAGATCATTTGTTGCGCCATATGCAAGTAAATGTTTTTAAGATTTTAATTATTAAATTGTTAAATGTTATCTTGATGATTATCTCCACGATTGCTTATGCAATAATAATTATTGATATAAAAAAAATAATAGGAAAGTTAATAATTTTCACTTCTTGAACTATTATGGTATCAGTTATATCAAACAGATATTTCAGGATTATTAAACAAATTTTTTTATTTTTCTTAAGCCAACTCATAGTAACAGTGCCAATTTCCACACACACATGACACAAGAAAATAATTCCAGAGAAGACAGAGAGAGTACTCCGCATGCTTCCAGTACTTGTCATGGCCATGGTAGTAGTTGTCACCCACCCAGTGAAAATAAATCTTCTACAAGTACTGAAGCAAATCCTGTTGACGAAACAACGAGCAGTAATGTGAATGTTGAAGATTCTAGTTTGAACAACAACTCAAATACATTACCAAGTCATTCTAATGTGAATCAGTCAAATGTGAGCCAAGATCAAAACATGTATGTTGAATATTTGCTGATAATTTTTTTTTTTTTAATAAAAATGTTTTTTTAACAATTTCAACAATATTTAGTGTTCGACCTCAAGTTCTGAGTCACTTTCTTGGAGATTTTATGCATTTTTTTCACCACTTTGCTCCATTTCTACAGAGATATAGATATCTTCTTCATAATCCACAGGGACCTGTAAGTTGATTATTCAAATTTTTAACTGAAAGAATTCTGTTGTTGTTTAGATATACCAAAAGTAGTGTAAATTTAAAAAAGTATAAGCTTAAAAGACAACCTGTGAAGTTAGAACTTGTTGTTAGTATATTTTGCTAAAATGTATTTGTGATAAGCAAAGCATTGTAATAATTGTTAAAATTATTTTAATTTTTTTCTATTCTATGGGCTATATGTTTTTATAAATTTTAAATGTAAAATAAGCAAGAGTTTAAAATAATTCATAAACTGTTAATTTTTTTTTCTTATCATTTTGGTGAAATAAAAATCTGTGTCTGTTGACTTCTTATACTGTCAACTGTATGCATTACAGTTCACGTTGGTTACTGAAAAATATAACTGAATGTTTTGGTTATAGATGTTTTCATAGCTTTGGTAACTAAAAAATATAACTGAATGTTTTTAGTAATAGATGTTTTCATAGCTTTGGTTTTTGATCATGCCACAAAAAACCATCGTCATCACCAAGTTCTCTAAACCTATTATTCATTAATATTTGTGGTCTTTCAAGTAGCCTTCTTCTGTTCAGTCTTATCTTTTGCAAAGTTGCTCTTGCACCAGACTTGCTCTTTGTGTGCCTAATTTGAGTTGAGCCGTTTCATCTTGTGATTTTAGTGTTGATGGTTATCTACCTTTAATTTGTAAAGACTCCAATTGTTACATGCTTGGCCTGGGCATTTAAATTCCTAAGAATTCACCCATTTGTCAGAAACTTGGTTTGAATCCACGGACTATTCTTTTATGTGTTTTTGTTTAGCACCACTTCACTCTATAACCTTTCTCTTTGTTCTATATCGCTCTCCATCTCAAGACTGCACTATTTTCGATGTTATTTCTGATCAAATTGACAAACCCTTTTTTCTTTATCCTTCAGCCAATAACACTGTATCATTTTGTCTCCTCCTGACAAATGTGCCTCTTATGTAACATCATGGGTTCAGGCTAGAATGGATTCTTTTATTCCCTCTCGATGATTCCCTGATGTCAAGCCTCACTCTTCTCCATGGTTTTTCTCTCATAGTGCTGCTGGATTTTGCAATCGTAACCATAACTCCATATCTATCACCAAAACAATTTTCCAGAAAACAGACGTCTGTTTACTATTGCTAGAAACCATTTAGTGTTATTCATAGCCTGCTGGAAAGAAACAAAAACTTTGGTGTTATTCATAACCTGCTGGAAAGCGGCATCTGTTATCCCTATTTTCAAAAATTCTGACTCGTCTATTAACTACCGTCCGATTATTTTTTCCTATCATAAGCAAGGTTTTTGAGTCTTTAATTAGCAAATTCTTAATCTCTCATCTTAAATCTAATAAACACTTAATCTCTCATCTTAAATCTAATAAACACTTAATCTCTCATCTTAAATCTAATAAACACTTAATCTCTCATCTTAAATCTAATAAACACTAAATCTCTCATCTTAAATCTAATAAACACTTAATCTCTCACCTTAAATCTAATAAATTACTTTCTGATAATCAATATGAATTTTGATCTTCTCGTTCTACTGCTGATTTGTTAATGGTAATAACTGATAGGTTTTATTTTGCACTAAATATGCACAGGTCCAATTATGTTTACAATGCATTTTTAAACTTAAATTGCTAGTTTAGATAAGTGCTCTGACGTCACTGACAGATAGCCTATCTTGCAGCGAAGTGCTGCTACATCGACTGAGGGTTTGGGATGGAGCAGGAATTCTTTCATTATTCTTCGTTTTTTTTTTTTAATTTTCTGAAAACACTGTATGCTATAAAGATAAGCAAAACTAGTGAGCAAATGCTAATCTAAACAAGCTATAAAAGATATACATGTAATTATTCCATAGGAAATAGAAGAAAAAAAAGTCAACAATTAATAACCGACCTTAAAATATTTTTGGTTGACATTATATTGGCACAAAATTTTTAACACAAAGGTTTTACCATAACAAAATAGAAATGAGGCAAAAGTTGTCGACTTCAGACAGTTTTTGGTCTCATGACCTAAATTTGATTCCAATGGTGACATGTTTTTCCTAATGGAGGTTTTGTTAAAAACTGTGTCATTTGATAGTTCTGACTTTATTACCACTATGCAATTTATTCTGCTTTGATAAAAGTTCAAAACTTTTTATGATGCTATGGATTTTTTTATTTTTTTTGCATTCTTTTTCTTCACATTCTATGAAGAAAATCCTGATAAACAAATTTGCTTTCTTGTGTTAGCATTGTCCATGATGAATAAAACTGTTTATAAAGAAAAAACATATTATTAGGTTGCATTTAATTAAATTAATAATATACATTGTTTTTTATTATATTTTGTTGGACACTTCCCTTATAATAGTACTGTTCAAAGCCTATATTCCATTATTTATAAAGTTATCAATTTATAGTTAATATTAGTAATAATAATATGGTATCAATATTTTAATTCAAACATTTATTTTAAAGGAACGCAGGGATCACGGTGATTCGCTTCCAGATCAAATTGCTGAAATTTTTCATGATCTCAGTCATGCATTTCATGCTATATCTGATCTAACTTTTAATTTCAACTCTCCAACACCACAGTCATTGTCATGCTTTCCACAAATATCTCCAATACGATTTCAACAAACTCCACACATGAGAATGGTTCCAATCTCAAGAAACTCTAATGGAAATTCTGGTATACGACAGGTAAAACAGATTAAATTTTATTCTGGTTTAAAACTTTTTTCTAGAAAAAAAATTTTATATCAAAAAAAATTTTATTTATCTAAATTTTTATTTTTTAGGGTGGACCAGTGGCTGTAGCTGCTATTTCAACTACTGTTGTCCATATTCCTGCAAGTTCAGTTCAACGCTTAGTTACCGGTGGAGAAACTTTGACTACATCCGCTACTCAAGGATCTTTAAATCCAAATATTCCAACAACTAATCAATGGCCACCAGGTGTCCCAATTGCTGGATTTACATCAGATACGAATCAAGGCATTCCAGCTGGAATGATGTTTGGTCCTTTTTCAATGAGTGTACCTCAACCAACATCTGCAAATACTCCTCCAGTTTCTAATTCAGGACGTTCAAGGGGTGTTAATACAAATGATGTTAATATGCAGGATGTTCTTCAGAATGTAATGTCTGCATTATTTCCTCCAATGGTAAACAACAGTTCTCAACCCAATTCAAGTTCTACAACCCAAAGCAACACCAATGAAATGTCAACACCATCTAATAATGGTTCACAACAAGCAAGCCAAAGACAACAGACATCAGCACATTCAGCACAAGAAAACTTTCACCACCATCAACAAGATGGTGCGCCTTTACACCCTGACCCACTCTTACCGTGTAATTCTTTTCACCTTGGGCCAAGCTTTCATTCTTCTCAGAGTAATACTCAAAGTGCTCCTCGAGTTGTTGAAGTTGCGAGTGTAGTCATTGATCATACATCTAATTCTGCTTCTCCCACTGTTAACACATCTATGTCTGGGCAGCAAAATACTGGAGCAGCTGGTAATAAGTTATTTCATACGGTTTTTATCACTTTTTTTTTTATTTTCCTAATATGGTCAGTGACACTAAATCACAATATTTACTAAATAACAGTTATACTAATTGTGAGAAAATATTTTTTGTTGTATTTTTTTGAATGTGGTTTTTAAATTTTAGAATTGCCTAATAACAATCCTCCAGTTGGTGCTGATATGTCTAGCATTTCCAATATTCTAAATTCAATGTTTGGAAGTTTATCAAACACCAATAATCCTTTTTCTGAAAATGATTCCAGTATAGACGATGAAACAGTAAACTCTTTTAGTTTTATTTTTAATGTCAATTTTATTTAAATTTAAATTTTATCTTATTAAATTTAGTAAAACAAATTTTCAAAATATTTTTTAGTCGATGGATGTTGATATGAGCAGAGATAATCAATTTATGGATCTGGTAACAGAAACTGTCCGAGTTTTGAATGAGAACTCTAATGATGCAAATTCATCAAGTAATTTTTAGTTTTTTCATTTTTTTAAATATTTTCATTTTTAATTATTTAATTTTTTATAATCTATAATATTATATGGCAAAGTACAGGGCTCGAAATAACAAACTTTTTTGTACCGGACAGTTTGTCCGATAAATACTCAAGTATAATGGACATGCTTGATAAAAATCAAAGAAGTGCGATGAAGCGCCATTCCTGATCACAGATGTTATATTTTGTTTTTACAACTTGACCATGCAATTTGTTTTGACAACTAGGCGTTTCAAAATGCGCTAAAAATAAAAGAAAATTTGTAAGATGAATTATCTAACCAAAGGAAAATCTTAAAGAAAAAGAAATCTAAACTCAAAAAACTAAAATTTGAAAAGGAAAATATATTTATATTACTTTTTAAAATTACTATACTATGCGAAATGCTTTGTAAATTATTAAATACATAAACTATTGTGTAAATACATTAAATACATAAATAATTAAGTTTACTTATTACTTTATTAAACAAAGTAACAAAATAGTTATAATGTTTACAATAAACCCATTTTATTTAATTTATCAAAAATATTATACATAATTACATTTATATAAATATGTATTTTTTTATAAATCTTTTCAAACCCTAGCCCTAACTCAATTAAAATGATTAGAAAATAAATGCACATAAAATATGGATTAGACAAAATGACCAGTAAAAGTCGTTTTTTTACCCGACAAGTGCCGGACAATGTCCACCCTTATTTCAAGCCCTGGCAAAGTATATCATAATCTACCATATAATATTATATTGCATGGTATAATATAATAGAATCTGTAATATGATATAACATTATATTATCTGTAGATATATAGATGTCTGTATAATATAATAAAATATGTAATGGTATAATATAAATGTAATGGCTTGAGTTTTCCAGCTTACAAAATAATAGGTAAACAGGTGACAGCTGCCTGAAATGATCAAAATTACTGTTTTTACTTCCTGAAATAAGTTCTTGCCGGTCACGGTTACCGGTTAAAAAAATCTTAGTTTAAAAAAAAAAAACATCTACAAACAACTTGGATGTGTTTCGAAAATATTACATTTTCATATAATATAAAATATTTTAGACTGAAATATTTTGAAAAATTGTTAAAAATATTTTTATTGTTTATGATGAGCTACTTTATACTATTTTATATGATGTAAGCTATATTTTCATTTTTTAAACATCTTTTGTTTCATTTCACAGTAAAATCACTGGTTGCTTTTTATTACTTGATTAAAGTTTTTATTATTATTTTATGTTGTTAATTAAAAACATTCTTCTTTAAATTGTTTTTTTTTTTTAGTTTTTATTTGTGTTTTTTTTCTTGTTCAATTTTTTCATTAAACTTCTTTTTATAAAATCTTTTTGAAAAACCTCTTTAATTTTTGCTACCATTTGAGAAGCCATTGCAATGAATGAATGTTGTCAATATGTTTATAAAATCTTTTTAAAAAACCTCTTTAATTTTTGCTACCATTTGAGAAGTCATTGCAATGAATGAATGTTGTTAATATGTTTAGCAATATAAATAACTATATCATTAATGTATTTTTTTTGTTATCATAAAAACAATTAGCGGTAGTAATTTGTAAGTGTCTTTGTACATTGTAAAGCATTAGGAGGTAATAGATTACAAAAATCCTTTTAAATTAATTTTTTTTTTTGTTTAATTAACAATTTTATAAAAATTTAATTATAGTTAAACAAGTTAAATGTACAGAAGTTAAATGTACAAAAATATTAAACAACTAAAATTACTTAGATTTTGACATCTTTTAATCTTGTTTAGGTTTTTTTTCCTTTTTTAATCTGCACACGTGAGCTGTTTCAAAATAATGTTATACCAACCTGTTAATAGGAGCATTATTTATTTACCGTTAAAAAAAAAGTGATGATTTAATTTAAAATTATGTTGAAATTAATTTTTTTATTTACGAAGTTAAGTAAATATTATAAAAAAAAATTAAAACATCAAAATTTTTCTAATTGACCCATCAATAAAAACAGTTGACTGTCATATATATGAGTTAGCCCGGTCAAATTGATCGCCAACCTTTTTTGTGTTTGGATAATGTTAATAGAACCTCTACATTTTAACACTTCATACAACACGAGGTGCATCTTTAAAGATCAGTTATCATGTGCATCTTTGAAGATCAAATCATATGCACCCTGTTTTAATGTCTGAAAATAGTTGATAGTCTTTTTACAAGTAATTTTATAATAATAGTTTTTTACAACTAGATTTTTTAGCTTACGACCAATAAAAAATAGTGATATAAAAATAAATATAAACCATCATGTTATAGATGTATAGATATAAAGATAAATATATGCCATCATGTTATAATGGTGGCATTTTGTTTGATATTGTGTAATTAATGAAATTTTCATTATTTTTTTATTGCATTTTCACAGTTGTAAAACAAGAAAAAGCAAAAAAACATATTTTTGTTTTATTATTAATAAAAAAAAAGGTGTAATTTAAACACAACAACCAGATTGTTGATTGAGTTATTTTATAATAATTGTGTAATTGTTACTTATAAATGAAACACTGTTTTAAACTTTATTCAGCTTTAAAAATTTTAAATTATTTTTAATACTTTTTTTTAATTTAAAGATTGCATAACTCTTTGCTACTCACTTTAACTCATTGGTAAATCAGTGAGTAAAGTCTGATTGATAAACGCGTTAATGAGGATGATAATTTTTTTTAATAATGTGTTTTTGCAATTTGATATTTTAAAATTGATATTTTTTAGCTCGAAATGAAACTCTGAGAAATATATTTGAAACAAGATTCAGGCGTCTTGAAAATGAAGAGGGAGGTATGAAGATAATTTTAAATACATTTTTTTTTAACAATGTTCTTGTGTATACAAGAGTGTATATATATATATATATATATATATATATATATATATATATATATATATATATTCCACAACAATAAAATGTACCTTAATTGTCGAGGTAGCAAAATTGTAGTTGAAAGAGGCTTTTTTTACATTCAAATTTCTTTCAACTACAAAATAAGGATAAATATATATATATATATATAATATATATATATATATATATATATATATATATATATATATAACGGGTGTTCACTTGAAATCCGGACTGACTTTAAAGGGTCATAACTCCCTTATTTTTTATCAACTTAAAAAAATAAAATATGATTTAAAATCAGCATTTAATTCTCTATAATATGATACTTTATTTATTTTCAATTAAATTTTTTCTTCTTATAGAATCAATTCTTGATAAAATACCCTTTGCAAACTCTTGTACAAAATTGATATCAACTTTGCTGAAGCAATACACTATTCTTTTCCTTAGTTGTTCTAAATTTTCTGCTTGCCAATTATCCTTGTAAACTAAACCTTTTATTATTGACCAAAAATCCTCAATAGGTCTTGCTTCTGGTACATTTGCAGGGTTATCTTCTTTTGGTACAAATCTGACGTTTTGTCCATTTAAATAAGCTTGAACAGATTTAGCATAAATCTGTTCAAGCTTGATGATGCTCTTTAATAAAAGGAATAAGACATTTCTTAATACAATCTTCTAAGTAGATTTTTTGATTGATAGCAAAACCACTTTGGCGGATTAGCTTGGGTTCATACTTTCGCTTTGTATAATATTTGACACTAGATGGGCAGAGGTTTATGTCACTTGTGTAGAAGTTATCGTTTCGGTTGATTGATGAATGAGAAAGAGTAAAATAAGATTTATCATCAATGATCCAATCAAATTTGCTAAAAGCTCGATATAATCTACCACACTTTGTTTTTGCCATCAGTTTTTGATCATCAGTTCGATGTGGAATCTTTTTCTTTCTTTTCTTGATCTTTGATTTTGTCTGAATAATTTTATGGGCATAAGAAGCTGATATTCTAAATTTTCTACCTGCTTTCCTATAAGAAACGCCATCATGATGATCAAACATTGATTTTAATGCTTGTACTTTTTTTTGAGTCATTTTTAGAGCTTTTTTTCCTGAACCAGGACGTCTAAGATATCCAGAATCGTCATCAGCACGTTTAATTATATCATAGATGGTCGATCTGGCAATTTTTTCTTTTTCAAAATGATCTACGGTGTACTTTTTGCCTTTTTCTTTATTTTCAATATAGAAGTTGTACACACGTTTTCGAGTGTCGTCTTGTTTAGGTTTCATTTTCAATTTGAATAATCATTCAATCTAAATATAAATGTAGCATATTAAAGCTAAATTTAAACGCTTTAAAATAATGTATCACATGGTACAATTGCAATACATTATGTCAGATTTATATTGACTTAAAGTCAGTCCGGATTTCAAGTGAACACCCGTTATGTTTCCAGTATGAAAAATAGATAAACTTTAGTTTAAAAGTATTGGGTTGGGGATTAAGTTTGTTCGGTTTTTTCAAAGAACTTTCTTTAAACAATAAGTATAACAATAAATTAATCAATTATGTATTCAACATTACTGTTGACAACCTTCTTCCAACTCTCAACCAATTTGTTGATGCTGTTCCTTGAAATTTTTAAAATATTGTATACTAAGAAATAGTTAAGTCCACTAACGAAGTTTTTTATTTTATTATTTGTTAA